GGCCGCGCGCGGGCCTCCGTGAGCTGCCCCGAGATCCGCCGCGCGCCCGGCGCCGCCTTCCTGCGCCTGCTGCTCGCGCGCCTCAGCCCCGACTTCAACCCGCTCCTTCCTTCTTGGCCCAGCACTGAGCACTCTGGCCTCCCGCGTCTCTCACGGAGCCTGGCTGCATCCTCTGGTTCAGATCACTTGCCCTCCCCTTCCTCCGACTAGCTGGGGCCATGGCTGGTAACACGAAGCTTGCCCTTCCCGGGACGAAGGGGAAAAGATTTTATTGCCTTACACTTTCAAACAAGAGGAGCTGTTGCACTGGCAGCTTCTATCCCAGCTACAAGGAAAGCTGGGAGTGGAGGGAAGGAACCACTGTGTGTTCTTCATTCCAGTCCCTAATGCTTTATTCATTCTACACAAGTAACAAACACAACATGACCTAAGAAGCTACAACAGTATACAAAAAAACCCCCCCAACCAAAACCAAAACCCAAAACAAACAAACCTGTATAGTATTGACTGTACAACAGGCACTAAGTCGCTCATGTTTTGCGTTAAGAAGCCAAGTTAACCCAAACAGCTTTATAGTCTCAAACCTCCCTCACTGCATTGGAGCTCACTGGGATGGGATTAGGAGGGCTGGTACTTAGCTGTCAATATGTGTTCTCTTTAAAAGGCAGAAGCATTTACATCATGTGGCTGGGGGGGGCTGTGCGCGACACCTGTATCAAAACTCCTCAGGAATGACAAAGGGGATCACTGAGGGTGGGCAACTGCAAATGAGTCCTTGGATTCTTGCCCTGGTTCTGACGTATTTAGTGGGCTGTCCAGAAACAATCACCTCCACTGGCTTGTTTTATTTTTAAACAGGTATATGCATCAAGTTTAGCTGCATCAATCACCCTGCCTCTTTCCACAGGAACTCATGAGCTCCCTATTCAAAACCTAGGGCAGAATGAGGACTCTAAGGCAGGTTTCTGTCTCTGGGCACCAGCTGCTTTGAAGATGTGCACAGGTACCTTGGGATGGATATAAACTCCCCTTTAGGCTCTCCAGAATAGACCAGACTTTTTTGGTTTTGGCTGCATGGCATGCTAAGCATTTGGAAGTTATAAAGTAGCAGTCGGCTGCGTGGAGGAACAGATGTGCATCATCTTTCCTTCTGTTAGTTCATATGGAAACTATACTTAGTTTGCAGCCTCCAAACCAAAGCCACTTGTAAAGCATTTCAATTCAGTGCCCCAAGGCAGACTGCCTGCTGGCCAAGAACAGCACCCTTTCCTCTTTGCCTGCCTGCACTGACAGGTTTCAAATTTTGTTCTTTACACCCCCTCCCCGACCCAGTATAAAAAAAATGGTACAATATTGAGTTTGATGAGATTTAAGTTAAAAAATAAAAAGGTGTCCAGTCTTTTTGCTTTATCGTGAAGAGTTTGAGCTGGAGCGGCTGCGATGGCGTCTTCGACCTGGAGATCTGGATCTTGATCGCCTGCGAACAGGAGATCTGCGTCTTGGAGATCGAGACCTGCCACAAAATAGAGGTGGAAAGCATGGTTAAGAGACAAGGACAGTTAGCTTAAATTATTTTACACTCACTTAGCACCTCTCTCAAATCAAATTCCAAAACATTTTTAAGAGCTCCAGTGAAATGCAGCGACCTCTGGAGTCCAAGGAGGCAACTGAGGAGTTCTTAACACAGCAAGATGGAATATTTAGGCCAAGGATAACATAACAACCCTTCTACTCCAACAAAAGTTGCCACAGGATTCTTGGTGACCTGAAAAGTGTAACAGATAGTGGTAATACAGTTTCCGCCACATAGAGCCTAGATAGTTATAAAGTAAAACAAAAAACAAAAAAAAACTAACCAAGCACCAAGATCCTGGAAGTGAAGACCAAACAAAGGACAGAAAATACAAGACACCTAAAAATCATAGGAATAAGTAGTTTGATGAATGACAGATACACTGTGGAAAGTAAATCAAGTTAACCAATGTCAACGTTCATAGAGAAAAAAGGGTCTCCAATTCCATATTTTTTCCAGCAAAGATCCATCACCAAACACAGCCTCTAGTTGTTACAGCTGGTTCTAGCACAGGGGTGGGCAAAATGTGGCCTGCCAGGCCATTCTATGTGGCTCGCAGGGCCCCTAAAAAATTTAGAAAATTAAATATTTATCTGCCCCTGGCTGCCTATCATGTGGCCCTCGATGGCTTGCCAAAACTCAGTAAGCAGCCCTCCGCCCAAAATAATTACCCGCCCCTGTTGTAGCAGATCTCAAAGGAGTTGAAATGCCCCATTCGATGAGTGTTTCACTACTTTTTGGAAGGAGGAAATCAAGCCTGAGGCAAAGTTGCCAATGATGAAATCTCAGGACGGACAAAACACTGTGGCACTAAGAATGAAAATTAACAACACTTTCCTGCCAACACACCTCTGAAATACTTCACAAAAGAGGGCCTACCTTCTTCTCATGCGAGGTGGGGACCGACGCCACATTGGTGGTGGTGGCAGCATTCTCCTTGGTGGGGTGAAGCGTCTGGGGAGTGGTCTAGGCCGAGGTGCCAATACAGCAGTGGCAGTGATTTCCTGGCCATCGATCTGCCCTGTTTAGCGTTAAAGACAAAGAATGAACTAAACGTTCTTCCAGCGCTGATACTGCACACAGAGCATGAATGCACCCAGCCACAGGTTTCTGTTCTCACACAGCTGCTTCTTTGCAACACGTTTGTACTCTAGCCTCCAGCCTACGAATAAGGAGACCCAAGGTCTACTTCTCACTTCACCACTGACTTAGTGTCACCTCAAGCAAGGCACTTAGATGGTCAGTTTAAAGGCTCTTCTACATAAGGATGTGACTTTTTAAAAACACCTGCTACCTTGGCAAGACGGCACAAGGGACATCAGTAAAAACATCACATGATGAGAGCACTGTTTCTGTCACACTGATTATCTTGCGTGGTAACACTTTGTGTCTCAACAGTTTCAGTGAATCCCCTATTTGTGTGGGTCTGCCCACACAAAACAGATGAGAGTAACCATTTGGAATAAATATAGAAAAGCAGGACTGTAAAACTGGAGAGCTTGGCAGGGAGGAAGGCACCAGGCAGATACTACTGTTAACCCTTGGTCAACCTCTCACCCACAATGGCTTTCTACTGGCCCTCCCCAGTATCCCTGCATAGAGTCTGGTACCTACCTCCATCCATGTGCTTTAGTGCTTTCTCAGCATCATCAGGATTTTCAAACTCCACGTAGGCATAGCCCTTAGAGAGATGGGGATTCAGCCTGTCAGGCGGCATGTCTATCATTTTAATCTTCCCATAAGTGGAAAATATTTCCATGATGTGATCCTGCAAGGAGACAGTAACCGTTCAGGAGAGTGGCTATGCCCACTTCACCCAGTCTTACCAACACAGAATGGTAAAGCAGAGGTGCACACAAACACAGAATCAGCTTCAAATCAAAATCATCAGCGATACAGACATCAACAGCATCGTCAGTAACACAGACCAGTCTCATTTAACTGAATTTGGATACAAATTTCCATTAACTTCTTCACAACTTTCTACTCAGGTTCATCCTCAGTTTTCCCAAATTCCACTGGCACTATGCTCTGCACCACTCTTCAGTACCTTCTGCAACTGATTTATGTTGAAACCAGAAGCCTTTCTATGAAATGGAAGAAAGAGCTGAAGTCTGGGGTCAAACGCTCCTGATTAGAGAGATGTACTGTCTACCATTTATAGTAACAATTATCAATGCAGCAAAAGTCATACATACTTTTGACAGAGACTTTGCCCCACCAAAACCATCATCTGAGAAGGCAGACTGAGTTGAGCTGTATTCTCTTCAGCTCAGCTTAATGATATCCTCAATTGTGCTCCAATTATCATTAATGAAAAGAAGGTAACTTACCCCCCAACTCCACAAAATCAAATAACATTTATGTTACACACTGCTAGAGAAGCAGGAAACCCAGGGTTTGCCTCTTGATAGTTCAGAAGTACTAGATCTAGGATGCCAAAACAGCACATAGGTCTTTTAAAGAACTGTACGTTAGCATAGATTCAATACTTATGGCCAAGTACGGCACAACCAGATATCATACAAATTTCCCTATTCACAGATCTGCCAGTGCACCTTAACCCTAGGTACAGATAAAATAAGGAGAAAGTGATTGCAGCCTAGTAACAAAACGCAGCTGTAATTTTTTTTTTTTTGTTGTTAAAAACTAGAGCACCTTCACAAAAATAGTGAAAGCTCATAGTTCAAGAAGAGGCCGTTACCTTAGTCACATTCCTGGTGAGTCTCCCAACATGCACTTTGGTAGGTCTGGGTGAAGGACTTCGTCTCTTCCGCTCCTTTTCATCCCGCTTAGGTGGCTTTGACCTAATTTAAATATCAGAGATTTGTCCAAGTTTCTGGTTATTTACAAGTTTCCTACAACAGCATCCAACCCCCAAGTACACATGAGCATTTACACAGACCGTTTTTTGTTGGTTTTTTAAAACTGGCTTTGGGTCCTTTTACTACTTTATGATGAAAAAGACCTGAGGAAAGAATACACCTTATAGATATTTTCGCTATTTGAAACTTCAACATTTCCCCAAACTCATACCTATTCTTCCCCAGGTTTTGCTGAAGGACTCACTGAGGGGTCACAACACAGCACACATTCCCTGAGATTTTCATACCAGAATTGCTGAGGGGCAGAAGTGTGCGATGTTTAACAAATTGTTTTCTGCAAAGTTATTGGTCACTGTCAGCTTCACAAACACGAACAAATTAAAAGTTCAAATATGATCAAACAATTTTATTGCTTAGTTCTTTCAGTTTCTTGACTCTTGTGATGATGTCAAGTGAACTAGTTTGTCAGTCCACTCAGTCTCCTCCAGGGTGGAGAAGACCCACATTTCTAAGGTAGTTAAAAAAAAAAAAAAAAAAGGCAGAAAATGTTCAGAAACAGTATTTCAGGCCCTCTTCATAAATTTTAAGTGAGGGAGTGAGGAAAAAGCTCAGGATTCCTTTTTCTTGAGAGGTTACCTCGGTATTTCTTTACAGGGAAGATGCAATCACTTGGGAAGACCTTTCCAAACATTCAAGACAGGACACATTCCTAGATATCCACCAACATTTCCCCCCTCCCTCCCCCACACTTCATTTTTAAGTGTAATCTTTTGCTGCTCTAGGTCAACAACATAGACCAAATGATTCTACCTCACTGAGCAATCACTAGTCCCAGAAAAACAAAATTAAAACTTGAAAGTATCTTTTTGGTTTGCCAGAGTCCTTTCAACAGTCTCTTCTATGTATCATTAGCAGCTATACAGCTAGGGTTATAAAACACATATAAGTTAATTGGGATACTATTCCAACATTTGAGACCTGGGATTTCTAGCTCTCACATGGTACCTAGCTTTCTGTCCCATCTGTTAAAC